TCAATCTTTTTGTGTCAGAGGGTATTAAGAGGCCTAAAACAGAAAAAAAAGCAAAAACAAAAATTGAAAAACAAAAAAAAAAAAAAAAAAAAAAAAAAAAAGGGCAAAGGCTGGGAACACAGAATAGCCTGGGACAACAGAACAGAAAGAAAAAGGAAAAAAATCTTCTGATAGAAATTTAGTAAGACAAAAGACTAATGAATGGTCCAGAATTACTACATAGATCTCTTTACAAGCACTTCAAGTGGTGGCTCACTTTTCGAAGTATCCTGAAAAGTGGAGGTTTTTCAGTAGCTGCAAAACTAAAAAGTCATTTTATTGCTCCACAAATATAGATGTTCAGTTTGGCTACATTTTGACTTATATCACTAAACACTCATACGGTAACTGGTCCATATGCCAAGATAAAACTATCAGTTACAATTTAGTATGGTAAGAACTAACATAAAGTAAGTGTAGAATGTAGGCCGGCATGGTGGCTTACACTTGAATTTCTAGCTCTCAGGAAGTTGAGGGAGAAAAATCATTGTGAGTTTGAGTCCAGCCTGGGCTGGACAGTGAGTTCACATGCAGCCTAGACTACACAGTAAGATCCGGACTCTAAAAAAAATAAATAAAGCAATTAAAATAAAGACTAACTGTCCAATTTGCCAATGTCTCTGAAGTGTAAAATATTCAGTAACTCTTACCTAAATCAAGGAACACTACACAATATCATTCTAGCTAGTGTACATTTGATTTTGCAAATTTTTGAAATGCCTCAAACTTCACCAAAGCTGGAAAATAAAACTCAAAGAAAATTTGAAAATCAATTTATAAGACGACCTGGCAACTGCTCTTACCAAACACACATCCATGTTAGTGACCCCTGTCCTAGTGGTATCCTTCAGCACTTCAAAGGCCTGCGGGGTCTGGACAGAAGAATGCCAGGACTATAATCCTAGGCAAGGTCATGTTATTAAATAAAAGTCCCAGATAAAAATAGGCATAGAAATACCGGAACACAATCTTGAGACTCAAGGACTACAAACAGGAAAGAAAAGAACACGTAGGGTTTTAAGTATCTATCTCCCAGAGACAGGAGCAGCATAAAGCGGGGAATAGATGCAGGTGCAAACAAGCAGGCCACAGGCCAGGACAAAAGCTCAGAGTCCAACACACAGAGATAGGAGACACATTCAAATGAAATCTGTGAACACAACTCAAGAATGGGCAGATTAACTCTCAAATAATTGAAAATAAATTTTGAAACTAGCCTAAATAAGGAGATATTTCTTGCTCTACTCTGTTGTTTTTCACAGGGATAGTGGTAGTTGCCAAAAACACTCCCAAAGAAGCCTGCTGGAAGGAGGTACTGCATACCAAGTTAAGCCTCCCCTTAACTTGCAAAGTTCCCTTTTGAAGAAGACTTCTGTTTCCATCACTAATGTGGAAAATAAATTTCCCCCATCATCCCTTCTAGCGGCACTTCATTCAGGCCTGGACATGGACCAGAAGTTTCTCTAGGCCAGCTTATCCAACAGAACCATAATTGGGGAATAGGGGGCAGAATGAGAAATTTAGTTCGCTCCTATCCCTGACAAAACTAAACAAAGAGGGGCCGGAGAGATGGCTCAGTGGAATAAGTGCTTCTCTGGCAAGCACAAGGGCCCGAGTTCAATCTCCAGTTCAAAAAAAAACAACCTAAACAAAGAAAGGGGATACAAATGAAGGACCATTTTGTACCTATATATTCAAAACAGTTAGGATATACAGCTACTTTCTCTTAATTCAATGAATAAAGATTTGTACTAATAGCGTTTGTAGACAGGATATCATGGCTGCACCTTGTGCTATAAATAACCACTAAGAAGATAACAATATGCAATGTATTAATTATTGAATCTGTCCTACTAATCGGTTTTGAAACTCTCATTGCTATTGTTTCTCAAAAAAATTATGAAAAAAATTTAGTTCGCTCCTTTCTTTTTACCAATTTGGGCTTAGGGGCCGGGGAAATGGCTCAGTAGGATAAGTGCTTGACTGGCTAATGCAAGGATCTGAGTTCAATCCCTGGTTCCATCAAAAAAAAAAAAAAAAAAAGACTCCTTACCAATTTGGGCTTGACTGGATCAGTCTTGCATGCAGATATTACAAACTCTGCTACAAGATAAGGTCAACCACCGAGCCTTCCCTGCACAGGTACTTCCGGGCACTTATGACTATTGATGTCAGGAGCCTCCAGTACTGCTCAGGCTGGTGTCCAAGCTATTAAAGGTACAGCTGATGCTGTTTCCCATGCTTCTGAAGAAATTCCTTCTACTCAGAGCACACAGCTCTCTGACCCTAAGTTTCTTCACCTGTAAAATAAGTATAATACCAACCTCAGGATTGCTAAAAAAAAATAAAATAAAAAACTGAATAGAATGACAATGACATGTTAAGGAGCCAATGGGGCCTCTTCTGCAGGAAATAATTATGCTAGTAGTCCTTTACTCTCACAAGGGAGGGAACATGCTAAAGCTGCCTTCCAGGTGCTTTGTTTTGAATGTTTGTTCCCTCCAACACTCACAGTGAAACTGAACTGCTATTGTAATAATCTTAAGAGGTGCCTAGTGTCGAGTTGCTGTATAATGTCACAAGTACTTCCTCAACAGGCGCCAGCTCCTTGATATCAGATTTCTCAGACTCAAAAACTGTCAACCGGGGCTGGTGAGATGGCTCAGTGGTCTAAAGCACCTACTTAGAACAAGCTTAACAAAGCACAGGGACCGCAGTTCGATCCCCCAGCACCACATGCCAGCCAGCCCCACCCCCTGGTGGGCTGAGCTGGCCACACACACACACACACACACACACACATAAATAAAATTTAAAAAAAAAAAAAAAAAAACTGTCAACCACACAGTGGCCAGGGTTTGATCCTCGTCATGCCGTGCCAGTCCTGCCCCCAGGGTGCAGAGAGAGCAATTGAGACTGGGTGTGGTGGTGCACGCTTGTAATCCCGGTACTTGGGAGGCTGAAAACAGGAGAATCATTATGATACCAATCTATGTAGTGAAATCCTGTAGACCCTGTACCAAATACATAAAAAAAAAAAAGTAAACCAATAAATTTCTGTCCATTAAATATCAGCCGGCCTGTGGTATTCTGT